ATTAAAAAATGACATGCATATTACACAAGTCTGACATAAAAAACTTGAGCAAAAATAAAATTAAAAAAAGTCTTTTAACGAAAATAAAAATAAGAAACATTTCCATGTTTTTTTTTGCATTACTTTTTGTACAATGTCTGTAAATATTATTTTAAACTTCAATAACAAATGGCATGCATGTTTATTGATAAAAAATTACTTAAATGAACAAAAAAACCGCTATCAATACATTACGTGGCTTTCTTCAAACTAATTTATTGTTTCTATTATTAAGTACTCGGGTTTACTTTATTAAATAACTGAAATATTTTATATACAGGGTATTTTTGGAACGCTCCCGAAAACTAAGACAGACGACAGTATGAAGTACACCTTTGATGATGGGTGGAATATAAAATCGATCCTGATGAATGAAAAATCATCTTTTCACAACGTTTTATTAGCTTTATTCATTCTCTATCATGTTAGTACAGCTAAATGAAACGATAATTTCATAAAAACAAAAAACATGAGAATACTGAAACATAAAACCAGCAGTGGAATTACTGAATTCATATCAGCTGATTAAAGGTCAATGTACGCGCGAACACTGAAAAAAGAACGCTGGCCTTGAACCTGGACACTGAGCGATTTATGAGTGAGTGGTAAGATGACGTACATCTTTAACAATATTTGCATCGATTACTTAAATTTCGATTATTCTTGTCTTATTATTCTATATCTTATTATTAAGAGCTTATATCGTATTATTAAGAGCTGGTGCTTCACATGTGGTCCCATATAAATTTGACCGAGGTCAGACCAATAGTTTTTGAGTTATCCTTAATTATTTATATTGAAGTCGGTTGTATAAAATTTTTAATTTTTAATTATTATCGTAGTAAGTCTGGTATGATATCCCCTTTAAAATCATTACTCAAGAGTTGCGGGTTGTTATTTTTTGTATCTCACTACCAATGCTTTTCTAATATTTACTGATAAAAAAAAGTAGTAAATTACTATTAGCGTCCTTTCAACTTCAAATGACCTTTCCAAAATATGTCAAAATGTTAAATGAATGGCAGTTTTTTAATTTATTAGGTTGGAAAGACGCAAATGGTTATATGCGTCTTTCATTCGATGTTTTTGTTTTGCCATGTGTATTTTTTAAGCTAAGATGAAAAGGAAAATTCGTTTTATTTAAATAAATAAACAAATTATCAAAAAAATAAGTTCGTCTTTAAAATCTTCATGCCTCTACGTATATTTCAATTTTCATATTGATACCTTTTAATATACTTTAGACACAGCAGGGTTTGAAAGAAAAATTCATCTATTTATTTTTTACTTCCATTTTACGTTTTTGTTAGTTGCGTCCTTCTTTATTATGACGGCAGAACGCCTAACCCGGCCGGCTGGTGTTGCCTCACGCTATGACGCAGTAGGTTTCAGTCTTGGCGGAGTTCGTTCGTTTTAGTTTTTGAGCAAGTTCCGTGTTGGTTTTATACACGCGTGCGCGAACGACAGTTCAATCGTTTTGTTTATTAAATTATTATTATTATTACTTGTGATTACGTGTTGGTATTATTCTTGTTGTTACGTTTTTTGATTCTTTTTTGTTTTAATAATGCCTAACGCGTACGTTTATAGTGCTCGTGAATACAGCAACATGTTAGGTATCCGAACCTAGGTACACGAAGTATCGCTAAATAAATTGTTAGACGTCGGGATGGAACACGTGTGTCATACTGTGCAGTGCACAAAGTGTTGAAGTGTAACCGAATGCGCCCATACAAATTGCACAAAGTGCAAGCTTTAGTTCCCGGCGATCACGACCGCCGACGAGTTCTCTGCCGTTGGCTATTAGACCAGCAACAACGTGTGCCTGGTTCCATTGAGCACATTATCTGGACAGATGAGTCGCCATTTACCAGAAACGGCCTGTGGAACCGAAGAAATACACACGTGTATTCAGAGGTCCTGAGCCACCTGCATCCATCGACTTCCTGCATATCTTAATATCATAACCCGCACGCTGTTCAACAAACCGGCTACCAAGCCCGATGGTCGGTTAACGTATGGGCAGGTTTATTTAAGGATCGCATACTGGGACCAGTGTTTCTGCCACAGCGACTGAACGGACAGCGATACCCAAACTTTATAAATGAACAGTTGGTTGACATTTTAGACGACCTATCGTTGGCTGAAAATCGCCGCACATGGTTCCAGCGTGATGGTGCACCTTCACATGTCGTGAGGTTCGTCCGTGAGCGCCTCACCGAATTATATGATGATCGCTGGATTTGGCGGACTAGGACCACACGCTTGGCCACCTCGCTCACCAGATCTGACCTCGTTAGACTTCTTTCTGTGGGGTATGTGAAAGAAAGGGTTTTTAATCGTGAGTGTGATAGTGCTGACGAAACTACAAAAGGATCGTGGATGTTTTCAACAAACTACGTACGGACTGTGTCGAAGACCACACGATGATGCCCTGCCTCCATGAGACGCAACACCGAGCCCAAATCTGCCTTGAAATGAATGGAGCACAATTTGAGCCGCATCTCATAAGACCACGGAGGAATTAGAGCGGTAGGCTGTTTCATAATTATTTTTTTTAAATAACTTAGTACTGAACTAATCTGAATAGGTACATAACTGAATACATGAGAATAATAAACATACCTACACGATGAATAAAAACGTATGACTCTAACCTTTCATTTTTTTACATTTCATTTAAGTATTTTTTCATTAGCGGGAAATCGAACCAGTTATTTAACCTGTAAATTCGGATTAAAGTGGCTACGTGGAGACAAGTACAGTGGCAAAATAGTAGGTTTAGTAGATAAGTTAGGTATTTAGACAAGTGTTGTAAATTATTAGGTATTATGGTATGGCCCGCTATTTGCGGGCCGCGCGAATTTGCGTTCGCGCGTACATTGACCTTTAATCAGCTGATATGAATTCAGTAATTCCACTGCTGGTTTTATGTTTCAGTATTTTCATGATTTTTTTTAATGAAATTATCGTTTCATTTAGCTGTACTAACATGATAGAGAATGAATAGAGCTAATAAAACGTTGTGAAAAGATGATTTTTTTATTCATCAGGTTCGATTTTATATTCCACCCATCATCAAAGGTGTACTTCGTACTGTCGTATATTGTTGTGTAGTATATTGTTAGTTCCAACAAAAAGTCACGTAAAATAAAAAAATTGTTTTTTTTTTTGGTGATTTTGAAATGCTTGTAATTTTTTATGAAACTTTCATTATTATTTAAAATACGATCGTGTTATTTAATACGCATGCCATTTTCGGTATATACTTAAAATAATATGTTTTTATGAAATACAAAACGGCATGCAAATAAAAAACGCGGAAATGTTTATTAAATTTTTTGCAACTTTTGTTATTAATTAGAATATAATGATCATGTGCAACATGCTTGCCATTTGTATTTCAGAATTATTTGGTCATAAAATTAATATTTATCTTTATTAGAAGTAGTTTGAAATAACGGAAAAGTTGTATTAAATTTTCACAACATTTATAATTTATAATTCCTACTTGTGAACAAATATTTCGTTCATAGGTAGGAATTAATGCAAAAGAGGTAAGACGTGGGAAAAAAAATTAAACATACAAAAAGGTTGACTACGCATGACTTTAAAAAAAGCCCTAAAACGTATGTTTTTATATTTCATTTTTAGACTTCTACTAAGCTCGTGCTTAAATCTATCTTATACGCAGATTAAGATACATTTGCTTCGTTTTAATTGAACTAGCTGAAAGTTTTGCCTTACCTTCACACTCCATTAATAATTCGGTTAACAATAACAATAACAAATTAAATTGGCACAATTTTTTCCACAAATAACACAAAAATATACGCAAACACGCTCTACGCAATGCACAGGAAATGTAAATTAGACATTAAAAATATCTCACGTCGAAATCTAAGGCCTCATGCCGAAACCGATGGGCAGGCCAAGATACTTTATCGAGATGCTGGGTCCGTCGATGGGCGGGCTGAATACCAGTGTAAGGCGGCATGGGGGTAATGTTGTCATTTCTGAGGAAGGCAGTGAATGGATTAAGGTCGTCTTTCAACTGCGATCACTAAGAAACATGTGATTATTGTCAGGTTATATGTGGTAGAGCCATGCTGCAACTATATTATGATTGTAACACGAATGGGTCGGCTCGACCGGGGAAGGACTATGCTCTCACAAAATACCAGTGTCAAATAATAGCTGCTGTGTTTCGTATAGCGAGTGTAGAGAACCGGAGACCCTTTTTAATGGAAACGAGGCATTCCATCTTAGTCCTCAAGAGTGACAACGTATCTACATTTTGATTCGTAATCGAAGATAGTAGATGTAGGTGTCTATAGGCCACAGCAACCACTTACCATCAGGTGAACTGTGTGTCCAGACCAAGCACCATGTGACTACATCGGTTTCCCAAACATAAGATATTTGATGACAGGTTCAATATTTACAGTCTAAAGAGTGTAGTGACGAATTTCAGCTAACAAGTCTATAACATACCCGTGAATGAGTGGTCCTTTTGCTTTGAAAAATGGTTTCAACATAGTTTTTGAAAGCAATATGTAAACATCAGTTTGGTAAAGTATTTAGTCTCTCAAGTCCACTGCTGAACATGGCCTCTTCATATGTTGCCTCTTAATTGCCATAGTTGCCACGGTTGGCAGGCAAATTTGCAACCCCTTTTCTAGCTGTAATTAGGAAGACTACTGCTCATTTCATGCTCATGAAATGATTTCCCTCTGCCGCCAATTACGACACCCACGGGGCAATATGGGTTAACATTAAATTCTTTTTTTGAATATGGTTGTGCACAGTTATTTTTCTAGATTTAATAAAATCTTCAATTACAAGTATTTTACTTAATCATTTAATTTTTTTACTTATAACAATTTTTGATATAAAAAGTTACAACTTTAGCCAAAATACAAAATTATATTTACAGTGTACACAGCATAAATAACATTTGACTAAATATTTTGTGAGCCACCCGTTTGACTGAACGTAGAATTATTTAAACTGGCAGGCATTGTTTTTCTGGCCATCTGAAATTAAGTAAAAAAAAAAAATGTAAGAATTGCTTTAAAATCTTAATTTCAAAAACGGACATTCAAAACTTATGAGTGTAATGTTACACTGAAAACGTGTGAAGCACCCAAAGTTTAACAATTTTGTTTGTCATACCAGATACACACGCACACATTATGCAGCGCGGGGCATGACGCATACTGACGCCGATTATCAAACCATAATGTATTGGTGTGCGTTTGCCTTTTTGACTAAACTTACCTTACTTACCCTAGAACCCTCGCAATGCTATCACGGTGCTCGGGACCTTTTCCGAGCCACTGTCCTCCTCGGCTTTTGTAAGACCTTGGATGCTTCACACATTTTCAGTGTATCATTATGTCCATAATTGCAAAGTAGCTTTGCCTGTTTTTCAATAGATTCATTTAATACACATTTTATTAGAAGTAGTCTTTACTTTGTTGCATAAATATTAAGATTAGGCCATAACACATATTGCCTTACTAATAATATTATTTCATTCGTTACAGTCAATCAAAAGTCCTCAGCAGAACATAGGTTCCACCCATAGATTGCCTCATAAGGAGGTATTTACCATAATAATAACACTTGTTTAACCACTGTGCTACTAACCAGTGAAAACATATTTTTTATTGTAATGACAATATGTTATCGGAAGAAACTTCTAGGAAATAGATAATGATATACAGTGCAACCTCGATATAACGATACTAAAGGGAATTGGAAAGTATTCGTTATACCAAGTAATTCGTTATAATGAGGTTTGTTATATAGAGATTAAGTGGAACTTTGATTCGTCTTAACAAGGTAAGAAAAGTTGTTTATTAACCTCAACATTACGTAAATAGTTATCTGCCTTTCGTGTCTGATCCTATCAAGACATGATTTATTGTGGAATTAAGTGGGAATAATTAATAGGATACGTTATGTCACGATTTCAAGTTAAAAAAATTGGTTAATTGCAATGTTAAAGCAAGTATTAGAAATTCGTTATAAAGAGGTTTTTGATAAATGTATTCGTAATATAGTTATATTTTGTGTTAGCTCTTGTAGGCAGTTCTAGGGAAATTCGTAAAATTCGTTAAATAGAGGAAATCGTTATATCGAGGCTTGTTATGTCAAGGTTACACTGTATTTCACATATCACAAGAAACTTATTCTAGTTATTAAACTAAAGTATTTTTTTTTCCTTATTTTCAGGGTTTTTGGGCTCATAAAGGGGTTACTTTGCCATAGTTGCCTCATTTGGCAGACGAGGTGTCAACCACAGTTTTTTATTGTCTTGTTGTTCTTGGCAAGATACTGTTGTCCACACCCATGGGATGATATAGGGAAGTGGATATCCTTACACCGCAACTTATGAATAGAACAGAATAGAATAATTTTTTATTCAATATAGATCACAACATGTGTAATGCTTATTGAAAGTATTTTTTTACTTTACCACTGGTTCGAAAAAAAAAAAACCTCTGTCCTGGGAGGAACCAGCAAGAAACCCAGTGGGACTTTTTTTTTAAAAGCAAATTTTACATTAATGGTTGTACAAACTATATAAGTACAAAATTTATTTTAGAAACAGCTTGGAAGCTACAACCTCATCTACATGTATTGTGTATGGTACAGTAATGATCATCATTATTATCATTACAGCCTTTCACAAGTCCACTGCTGAACATAGGCCTCCCTCAAGGAATGCCACAAAACACGGTCCTGAGCTACCTGTATCCATCGACTTCCTGCATATCTTACCAGGTCGTCAGTACAGCAATACGGACAACAAATAAATAATTATTATGATTTTCCTTCTTTATCAGCTGACAGCCATTCTAGTTAGTAGTAGTTAGTGAGAAATATTATAGAACAATCATATCAATTATTTCTCTATTAAAGGAACTGACCACAGATGATTACTATAATTAAATTTAAAGTTTTTAAATCTAATTATAAATTTAGAACCAGAGGTACCAACATCGCTTAACAGGTCAGTATGATGGACTGGGAATGTCAGCCATATAGCTCAAAGAACTGACATCTGATAAGGATGAAAGGTTCTCGAGTGACAGCTCCTCCTACCTCATAGTGGTAAGCAATGTGTGGGGTAGAGATGGAGAACTACCAAAACCATTAGATGGAAAAATAACCTGGTAAGAGATATGGCTTAAAGATAATATGGCATTCCTTGATGGAAGGCCCATGTTCAACAGTGGACTTATGATGGGATATAATGACGATGATAATAATTATGATGATGATGATTCTTTTGCGAAGGGTAAAATGAACATAATAAAAATATAATAATACAAAGGGAAAACTAAAGGCATTACAACTTATTGCTACACATACACAGCATTTTCTACCCTCTACTTTTCAACCTTCTGGTAACCTTTTGAAAATTAATTCAGTCTCAAAAAATTGCACTTGGCAAAAAACATACCATTTTTATCCTATGCAACTCATCCATAGCCTCCGGAAGTAATGGCTTCACTGAATTGATTTCCATCATTGTTAAGTGATCAAGTCTACCATAGTTGCCACCAGATTTCATGAGGGCATCCATGGAGGTTCGTAACTTTGACATTCTTATATCCCAGATATCTTTGATGATGGTTTTTATTTCTGAAGCCCTAGGTATATCTTCTGCTGCTGCCCCTAAGATCAATTTTGCTTCAACCATGTAGTGTTCATTTGGCATTTTTGTGAAAAACCTGGAAATATATATATATACATATTTATTAATTTTAAATGATAACAGATCTACTTTCCGTTACCATTATAGCCTATTAAAGTTCACTGCCCCATAGGAGGGAATATTTGACATAGTTGCCATGTTTGTTAGGCGGGTTGGCAACTGCAGATTTTATTTTTAGTTTTTATTTTTTTATAGGAGAGGGGGCAAACGAGCATGCGGCTCACCTGATGGTAAGTGACTACCGCCGCCCATGAATAACTGCAACACCAGGGAGGGAATCGCAGATGCGTTGCCGGCCTTTTAAAAAGGAGTACGCTCTTTTCTTGAAGGTCCCTAAGTCGTATCGGTCCGGAAAAATCGCTGATGGTAATCGATTCCACAAGGATGTCGTGCGAGGAAGAAAACATCTTCTAAATCGCACAGTGGTGGACCGCCAATCATCCAGATGGTGTGGATGGTATCGGGAGTTCTGCCGCGATGTGCGTTTGTGAAATTTGGCGGCTGGGATTAATCCGAAGAATTCCTCAGAGCACTCCCCATGGTAGATGCGAAAGAAAATGCAAAGGGATGCAACATCTCTTCGCAGTGCCAATGAATCGAGCCGATCGGAAAGGGCTCAGTCGTCGACGATTCGAGCCGCTCTGCGCTGGATGCGGTCAAGTGGAAGGAGCTGGCACTGGGGAGCCCCTGCCCAGAGATGGGAACAGTATTCCATGTGAGGCCGAACCTGCGTCTTGTAAAGTAGCAGGCGGTGTGCCGGCATGAAATACTGTCCCGCTCTGCTGAGCACGCCAAGCTTTTTAGAGGCCAATTTGGCCTTCTCTTCCAAGTGACCACGAAACTGCACGTCACTCGATATGTCGACTCAGAGGATTCCGATACTGGCTGAGGCAAGAAGGGGAGTGCCTTGAAACTGAGGAGATACGACAAAGGGGTTCTTTTTAGCGGTAAACGCGCTAACTTGTGTCTTCTGAGGATTAAACTGGAATAAATTTATTCGCCCCTAATCTGAGACTTTGTTCAGCAAAGACTCGACTTCAGATACAAGTTTGTTCCGGTACTCGGCGACGTTTTCCCGAGAAATATTGGCACGGCCGGTGTATAGAGCATCACCAGTGCTGTCATCCGCATAGCAATGAATGTTACCAGTTAGCAACATATCATTGATATGCAGAAGAAACAGCGTGGGTGATAGCACACAGCCTTGTGGAACACCAGCGTTAATAGGCTTGTAGTCGGAGCATGCACCGTCTACAACGACCTTGTTTGTTCCGATCTGCAAGGAAGCTGGTGATCCAATCGCACAATTTCTCGGGAAGCCCATAGGAAGGGAGCTTCGAAAGAAGCGCTTTGTGCCAAACCCGATCGAAGGCCTTCGCAATGTCCAAACTAACGGCCAACGCCTCCCCCTTGGACTCTACTGCCTCTGCCCATATATGGGTCAGGTAGACCAGAAGATCACCAGCTGATCGACCCCGACGAAAACCGTACGGGCGGTCACTAATCAGCTGGTGATCCTCAAGGTATCGCATGAGCTGGCAGTTAATAATTGATTCCATTATTTTGGAGAACAAGGAGGTGATCGCGATAGGCCTATAGTTGGACGGGTCTGAGCGGTCGCCTTTTTTAGGGATCGGGTGGACAAAAGCTGTCTTCCATGAATTCGGGACTACGCCTTGGGAGTAGGAGTACCGGAAAAGACGCGTTAGGACCGGTGCCAACTCCGGAGCACACGTGCTCAGCACAATTGAGGGGATTCCGTTAGGCCCACTCGACTTCTGGATGTCCAGGGAGAGGAGTGGGTACGACTTTCCATTGACGTCAGTGGAGTTTGGTGTTGATACGTATTTTTACAGAAAGATTACACTATTATAAGCACACACACAAAGTCTCAATATACGGAAACGCGTAATTTTTGAGAAAAGAATAATTGAAAATCAATTATTCTTGCAATGTTTATGTCTAATCTGCTAATAAACTGGCGCCATTTTGTAATATCATTGTCGACGTCAATAGGGATGTCGATTCTTTCCGAAAAAGATCGATTTTATAAATAGATTCGAATTGTAAGCTGATGTATCGATTCCCAAAAAATCGATTTCTAAAATATCGATATTTTTTTCATGTTTGCGTTTATAATGTAAATATAAATCCATTTTATGAGAAAAAAATCCCCTTCATCATAAAAAAATAAGGGGACTGATTCATAAGGATTTCTGTATCTATTTTGAGACTGCTACGTCTCCGGCGCTGCGGGAAGAGCAACCTCTACGCCTTAGCGTAACAAATCGCAGGCATCCCTCCTCGCCTCCGCAGCTTCGGTTTGTTGGTCGCCTTCGGCGACCAGCCTCAGCCGCTCCGGCTCGTCCGATGCCTACGATTTGTTACAGCAGGCGGAGGCTGCTCCCCCTACGCGCCTCCGGCTCTATAAAACCACTCTAGGGGTAGGACAGACTCGTACCAGGTGGAGTCGGGGTCAATCAATTCGGTTCTTTGACATAAGTTGAACCTAACCTATTTTATTTGTTATATGCCCTAATAGGTACTGTTAAATAAAACAAATTTCAATAAGAGATCATTTATCATGGTATCTAACTTGTTTTTCATAAAATGGGTTTATATTTACATTATAAATAGAAACATTAAAAAAATATTGATATTTTAGAAATCGATTTTTTGTGAACCGATACATCAGCTTACGATTTGAATCGATTTAAAAATCGACCTTTTTCGGAAAGAATCGACATCCCTATTGACGTCGACAATGACATTACAGACATAAACATTGCAAGAATAATTGATTTTCAATTATTCTTTTCTCAAAAATTACGCGCTTCCGTATATTGAGACTTTGTGTGTGTGCTTATAATAGTGTAATCTTTCTGTAAAAATACGTATCAACACCAAACTCCACTGACGTCAATGTAAAGCTAAACCGAGGAGTGCTTTGCGAACCGAGCGCTGTGAGAACAGCACATCCGGCATGGAGCACTCACACCGCGGGATGGTCGGCGGTGTTTTCCCCCCGTCATCAAGAGTCGAGTTGGACGCAAAAAGGGAGCCTAAAAGGTCGGCTTTGTCTTTTGCGTCTTGGGCCAGTGAGTCGTCCTCCTTGTGCAGAGATGGTAGTGATGGCTTACAGAAATTCCCTTGGACAGCCTTGGCGAGAGACCAGAATGCACGGGTTCCCGAAGGAAGGCGAACTAGTTTCTCGCCAATTCTGCCTATGTGCTCTGACTTTGCCTTGGCAATAACTCTTTTGAAGGACCTGGAGGCGAAGTTATACTTCTTTTTAAGTGTGCTGGTGTTTACATCCCGAGTCGCCGAAGCCGTAGCCCAGGCTTGATAACACTCCTGCTTACTGCGTAATGCAGTCTTACAGGAGCGACCAAACCAAGGCTGAGATCTGCCTCCGATGGGTACCACAGATGATGGAATAAATAGTTCCATTCCCTGTAGCACCACATCAGTGACAGAGTCAGCAACAGCGCTGGGATCATCCGGTGAGAAGCAAACCCGCCCCCATGGGTAGGATGCAAAGAAAGACCGCATCCCGTCCCAATCCGCCGACCTGTAATGCCAAACACGGCGGCAACCTGCAGAACGCAACCACAAGGGGAGCGTGAGTGGCACCACACTCCGGATCAGACAATGGTCCGAAGAGCCGAGAGGGGCATCATGGGTCAGGTATCTCCTCTCATCGACGGAAACCTGATATCCGTCCGGATGAGACGTCAGCAGAAGGTCCAACAGGGAAGGTGTATGATCCTCCACATCTGGAATCCGCGTAGGCGGAGTAACCAGCTGTGTCAGACCATATGTCAAAGCAGTCAAAAACAGATCTCCCCACATGATCGGTCTAACTAGTGTTGAAACAGCTAGACTAGTTTACTTTAGCTATTTCCATAGCATAATGTCGTATAGTATTTTGCTAGGGGGCCAGGCAGCTGACACTGAAATTATATTTGTTTTACAGAAGAGGGCCATAAGAGCAATTTATGATTTAAAGCCTAAAGAGTCGCTGCGACAAAAATTTAAGGAAATTAATATATTAACTTTGGCCTCTCAATACATTTATGAAAATGTAATGTACGTACACAAAAATAAAAGTAGCTTCACAAAAATAAGTGATATCCATTCTGTAAATACTAGGAACAGACACAAGCTAGTAGTACCAGTTACTCGACTCCATCGAGTCAGTAATTCATTCTTGGGGCGATGTATACGCTTTTACAACAAAATTCCAGAAAATATACAAAATTTGACCTGCTCAAAGTTCAATAACTTTATTAAACTAAGTTTGTATAAAAAGGGTTATTATAATATTAATGAATTTATAGATGATAATAACCCCTGGAAATGAGGTGATCGCTACCAAGCTATTTCTAATTTGTTGTGTTGTTAATTTGTGTAACATACATGATTGTAAGCTGTTATTTAAAAAAAAAAAAGTCCCGCTGGGTTTCTTGTTGGTTCTTCCCAGGACAGAGGTTTTTTTTTCGAACCAGTGGTAATCATACAAAAAAGTGACTTTCAATAAGTATTATTTATAATCTATATTGAATAAAAAAGTTTCTGTTTCTGTAAACGTGAACCGAGCCATTCGGCGTGGTGGGCGTTAAAATCGCCAAGGATCACGATCTCTGCGGATGGGACCTGTTGTAGCAAAGAATCTGTAGCCAATGATATGTAGTCAATGAGTCGGTCTGTTTCGGCATTACCGCTATGGGACCTATAGAGGCACCCGTAGACGCGCGGATGGTCGTCGCTGTCTACGCGTAGCCATAGGATGGACAGGTCCGAACCTTCAAGACTGCCGAGGCGTCGAGAACAGATGTCCTCTCTGACATACACGCAAACTCCAGCCCGAGGCACAAAGGAGTGCTCCAATTTGTACCCCGGGTAGGAAAGATACGAAATATCAGCCAGAGAAGAAACCTGCATCTCGGTCAGAAATAGCAAGGCCGGCTTCGCCGTCGAGATGGAATTTTGCCCCCCCCCCCCAGAATACGCGGGGCAGCCTGAGCACCCACGCTCAGGAGTGAAGTAGTTTGGTCGTGGATGCTCAGCGAGGGATTCTCCAGGGGTAGTCTTTTATTTAATTCCACTACCATGTTGACGAGGGGGGGGGGGGGAATGGGCCTCCGGCCACCTGCACTCACCAGACGAAACACAGAAGTAGAGCTTCTACTTCACGCCGGTATTCTGTGAGGTCGTGGTACCAACCCGGCTCCAGCCGGCCCATACGTGCAACAGCAAAGACTGCTGCTTGGCTCTACCACCGTTATATTAGGAAGACAATGCTAATCATCTACTTGTCCATTTGCACCTCTTACAACACTCATGGTATGATTTAGGGTAGTGGATATTCTTACTCTGCCACTAAATGGTCAATCTACACATACTTACAAAACTTATTATTATATGTGATGGAAACTCAAAAAAAGCCATCACTAGTTACAAATGAAAATGCTAGGCAAAAATATGTTTACACCTTTTGAGGTAAATATATATTATTTCACAAACTACAAATTAAACTTAAAAGTGAAAGTAAAAGTTAAGAGAATAGTTGCCAACCAGCATGGCAACTATTGTAAAATCCTTCCCTATGAGGCAATCTTTGGAAGAGGCTCATATTTAGCAGTGGACTTTTATTGGCTGTAATGGATGGATGTATATGTATGGGGAAACATAAACTTGTCCATCCTCCGTCATCATTTACATGTAATGCTTGATAACAAATGAGATTTTGGTAACTAAAACGCAAAGGTAAAATTTCAATTCGAATATGCCCAAGTCCAACAGGGTTCGAGGGAGGTAATGAACAATTAGTGTACAGTTGGATGCCATTTGGTGAATTCATGAACAAGAGCAGTAGTAGATTAAGAAAGCCATTTCATCATTATGAAACCATAAACAGTCCTTTATATTTTTATAGAATGAGGATGAATTGCTCACTGCACTTGGTCCACCACCTGATTGTAAATGATTGCTGTCACCTATAGACATCTACATCTATTCTCAAATAAGAATCACAATGCAGATGCATTGTTACCCCTGAAGATAGAGATAGAATAACTTGTTGCCAGTAAAAAGGGTCTCCAGTTTTCTACACTCACCATGCGAAACAGCAGCATTAAGCTGCTTTTTAAAGCTGGAATTCTTTTTATTTTTTTCATTTGAAAGAAATTTTTAATACAGGCTTATTGATAAAGACAATTATTGTGATGAAACCTGTGTCAGAAATAAAATAATATATGAGAATTTGTGAAATCTAATAAATCACAACTAAGCAGCTTGGATAACTCTTTGTTGCACCATAATTCTATCAGATAGCAGGGCTGTAGTCAGCAGTGAGTCTTATGTAGAATTGTATAACAGTCATATAAATACAATTTGACAATATTATTTTGGTAAAATACTGCAGCCATGATTTTTTGACTGATTTAGGAAATATTATTAACTTACTAATACTATAAAATATAAAATGTTTTAATTGCACAGATGACACAAACTGTTTTAATTTGAATAAGTTTTTTTATTAAGCATAAACATACCTGGATCGCTTTTCTTCTTCTTTTATATTTTCCAAAACTTCAATGTCCATCCAATCTGGTGGTACTATTCTGCACTTTTGTTTTTGTTTTAGCATAACTCCTAGCCAGAGCGGTACATTCATCGGCAATCCAGCGCGGAACGGGCCAAATTCACCGCAAATAAGAAATATTTTGTCGTGTGAAAAGTTGGGAATGATACTGACGATTCTATTTTCGCCGATAAATTCTATTTCGTAAGGATCCATTCTAAATACGAGATTTACTATCACTTTGTCTTTTATTTCCAGTAAAAATACATTACTTATTGTGTGTTGTTTACCAAAAAACTTGAAATTCATTTACGACTTGAAACTCAAAAGAATCACTCTATATTGGGAAATTTGAACATTTTTAACTATGATTTTTACTATTTGTTTACACTTAACAGTATTTTGTTATCCGCTTTTATTAATATGTTTTGTTTGTTAGAATCAAAAACTCACGAATATTCATATTTAAGATTATAGTTTTTGAGTTTTAGAGTTTTTGATTGAGTTTGAAGTTTTGAAGTTAGGCTTGGGCAAAAAATATCGATATATAGCGTTGATATTTTAATCACGATATAAAAAAAAAATAAAATAAAATAATTTATTTTTCTTCACAAAACTTAAATTAATTAGATAGTTGATTGGGGTCTCCATTTAAGCAAGTAATGCTTGTGTTTGGAAACCCCGCTCTTCCTTATCTAAACATACATTTTAATTCTCAAAACCAAAAATGACAAACCAATTACTCTATTTTAACAAACCAAAAATAACAAAAACTAATTTAATTTTAAAAATCAAAAATTTAAAAATTTAAAAATTAAAAAGTACAAAAGTATATGTATGCATGTATGCAAGTGTGTGTGTGTGTATGTGTGTGTGTGTGTGTGTGTGTGTGTGTGTGTGTGTGTGTGTGTGTGTGTGTGTGTGTGTGTGTGTGTGTGTGTGTGTGTGTGTGTGTTTGTGTGAGTGTGTGTGTATGTACGTTTGTGCACGTGCGTGTGAATCTGTGTGTGTGTGTGTGTGTGTGTGTGTAGAGAAAGTATTATTATGTTATATATCGTAAAGAACAGTGAATTATGAAATGCGTTCCATTAGAAATTCAGTTTCGTCGTATGTTTTCGACTGCACCCATTTTAGTATAAGGTTTTTACACTCCTTGTATGTTTTGTCATATATGTTTAATTCTCTATTTATTAAATTATATAGGAATGTAGAACGGGAGCTAAATTGCCTACTAGCAAACACTGTTTTGAAACCAGAAGACACAGCCACAACATCTTTTCGCCGCTTTTCCAAGATGCATCGGTCAAAGGGCACGGATTTGTGTGCTTTGAGCGTTGTCATAGTAACATATAATTGTCTAACTGAGAGTAGACCACTTATTTGATACAGTTTTTCAGTGGAAAAACGTCTTTTTTTAAAATACATGACCTTAAGAAGGATTCGCTGAGCTCTTTCCAAGTTGAGAAATTGGGTCTTTGTAGTTGTTGTTGTCTTTATATCGATATTTATTTTAGAGTATCGAATTCGTATCAATTTCGATATATTTTAAAATGTTGTATTAATGACAAAACATGTAACAGCAAAAGGAGGTACAAAAGTATTCATGTGTGGTTGGTTGTCGTTTTTTTGCGTCGTCCAACCGTCAGTAATATAAAATTTTGGACCTTATCTTTACATCATGCAAACGATGACGATATATCGATATAAATCACGCGATATATATCGATATTTATTAAAAATATTTATTCGATATATATCGATATTCTTTCCCTTGCCCATCCCTATTTGAAGTTGGACTTTTGATGTCTGTTACATTTTTTTTTTGGATTTTTTGGCCTGGTATCTAGACCTTTAGGCCAAGTCTTAAGTATTTTTATTCGGTTTATTGTAATTTCCCCACTCCTTCATAGTATACTGCTTCACAATATGTTGATGCGTCACATTGTGCAGTTCTTGGGAGATTTTGGCGGCAACTTGATCCAGCAGACAGCTGATAGTTGGCGATGGTATCTAAAGGTGCCTATGCAAACAAACAGCTTATCTTGAGAATCCATCACCATCAGAGCACTTGTTTCACTGTTTCCACTAATAGTTCACATGCGTAGACACTTAATACACAAAATCGCAACACTTTTACATATCAAAGTCCACTTCAAACCATTATTTAAACAATAATACAGGAGCAGCAAACCGGCGCCGGTCAATTTCCCGCCAAAACTCCTGATGTCTGTTACAATCAGGCGTCAGTGTTGTCATATTATGATTTTTTTTAGAACAAGGTAAGATACGTAGGCAAAAATCAGTTATTTTTTTTTTCATTCAAAATTCCGTAAGTGATTTCCGTATGAATTTTATTTATGGCACATTTCTCAATGATGAATTCCGTACCAAAATAAAACAAATACAAAAGTATAGCCAATTTTGATGATTTTTTTTTACGAAATTGATATAGTTATTAGTTACCTTAAACTTCTGGGGTAGACCAATAAAAAGAACAATGACGAAAATACTGTTGATGGAATTATTAAGCGTCTACTTATGACACATCAATCAATCAAATAATATCATCATCAATAAAATAATTTAGATATCAATAAAATCCTATTAAATTAAATTTAAATTAAATTAAAAATCCATTTATTTCTTTCTCAAGGCATACTAGATAATAAAGTAATTGGAGCCTCCTAGAAACTATAAAAGAATACCTGTGTCAGGAGGCACTGCTCTTCCTAATAAGATTAAATATTGAGATAAGCCGAGCAAGATTACCTATGATTTAGTAGTGTAGGTGTGTATTTGTGTGTTAGAGTGTGTGTGTATGTGTGTGTGTGTGTGTGTGTGTGTGAAGCATTTTTATTATTATTATTTTATGCAATTTTATTTTATTCTATTCTATTCTGATAAACAAATATATTATTTAATTCCGTGACGTAGAACAAAATCTATACATCTATACAAATAAATAAAATTGAAGTGTCTGTTTGTAATGTCAAAATAACAGCTTTTTACTAAATTCATATGAAAATATATACGGCACTTATAACAAAAGCACAATTTTTAAAATGTTTGTCTATCTGTTTGTTCGGCTAATCTCCGAAACGCCTGGATCGATTTCGACGGGACTTTCACTGGCAGATAGCTGATGTTATAAGGAGTAACTTAGGCTAATTATATTTTAGAAAAAGAGTTAGAGTTCCGCGCAACATAATTAAAACCCTAAATTAAACGCGGGAGAAGTCGCGGGGAAGGGGACTTGAGAAGACGTCGTCAATGTTATGAAGCGTTTATTTTTGGTTAAAATTTATGTTATATACTGTTTAAAATATAGGGTTTTCAATTATTTTGTTTATTTTGATATTTTACAAAGAATAAAGGCACGTTGTTGATTCAAACAAAATTTACATGTACCGTAGGGATTTACTCAACTATATCAAAATTAATGTCGATATTTATCTTGAATGTTTATAATGAACCGATAGACTTGCCTACACAAGAAAATAAATCCTCGCCTTGCGTTCTAAAATGTAATTTTATTTTGCCGTTTGTCAAACAGATTCCCTCCGGATTCTATAAATAAAAAAATGGTTAAGGTTCATTGGACGGGTTGGTTGTAATGCAAAGAAGAACTCAACTATTTACAGCAAACATTTTCTTGAGAAGCATAAAAGAAAAAGTAGAATAAAAACAATTTTATTAAAAGAAGTCATTTCTACATTATTTGTACCAGTAAGTAAATATTGTTATAATAAGACTTCAAAATGTAACTTTCAAAACTTTAGATAAATATAGATAAAGGTTGAAATTTAGAATCGTTTGGCAGGAAAAAATAATACACTGTTCTTGAGAAAAATCAAAAAGAAAATCCCATAGATCTAACAAAAATGATAATATTTATCGTCTCCGGCACGAGGGGGGAAGAGGGAAGCAGGAGTGTGCCCTATCAGGGAAAGCCCCTCTACCCTTTCCTCCTTGCGGAAAAGAATAGTTTATGAGTAATGGTTTTTTTTTAAACCATAACCTCACTTTATTTACACAGGAATATTGACCCAAAGTTACTTCTACAACGGCTTCGGCGTAGCAGGGAGTACAGCCCCTTCGCCCTTGCGTAGCGTAACCTTGCGTTCCGCGCCTACGGCTTTAAAAAACACTTTAGGAGTAGGACAGACGAGACTACGTGGAGTCGGGGCGTGCTAATTCAATTTTAGTACAGATTCAATCATATCAGATATCTTATCTATAAAGCCAGGTTGCTTTCGCTCCCGCCACATACTTCTGACCTATTACAACTGAAAGTATATCTGGGTGTTCAAGTATTTCTGGGCAGTTTTAAACAATTCTGAAATAAAACAGTTTAATATTATAATCATTTCTTATTTGACACTTGACAAAGAGTATAGACAGTAGAATAATGTGACACTAGTATTACGACCTTGTCGCACTTACACAAAATTTTGTGTGCTATCCAGCTTTCACAGTAATATTGCATACGTTATTGGTTATAATAGTTGTTTGTGTTTTATGCGTTTTAGGTTATAATAATTTTTATTTATTTATTCGATAACGGTGCATTACCTTTTAATAGGAGTGGTATTATTATAATCGGGGACCAAACCTCTATCAGATAAAATACTTTACTCCCCCAAATTCCTGCCAAACGATTCTAAATCCAACCCTAGATAAATATAGGGACAGATTTTCATACATTATAAAACTGTAGTACATTAAAGTTAAAAAAATCTTGAGATTATCATTATGAACCCAACTAGGTATCTATTTATCACCCAAAAATAAATGTATAACCTTACTTAACCAACCGTACAGCCCCACGGTCATACTAGTACAATATTCATAGCATCACGCTATTAACCCCAAGCGGTTGTGCGGAGCTTCGGAACTTCGGATTATATTCCTGTTGCGCGCCACTATTAATGTCTTGTACATGGCAACACTAGTTACCACTAGCGCCCTCTAGTATCGAGTAGCAGAACTAGGAGAGCCAAAATCCTTCTAGAAATTTCGGGACCGATATGTTCTCGAACATTCTAGATGTTTCTACAGTAGAAGGTTCTGGAAACTATCTGAGGCCCTATATAAGGCCGGTATAGACCACGACCGAGTTAGTATTGAATTGGCGATACAAGCGTATACTTCTAGGCGATACAACTGCGAACTAAAGGATCTGTAGTACAACTGTGTTTTATTATTAGTGTGGTTTT